CAGTTATGCTACCTGGACATTCATCTAATCTTCGCTCCCAGAACTATTAATTTAGAAACCAGAATATGGAAAGTCAAAGTCAAGTGTCATTCATCCGTGTGATAAAAATGTATAAATCAATTGAATTTTCAATTTGCTATTTCAACTGAAATTTATTTTTGATTACATCAGCAGTAAAAAGAAAAAGTCAGATGAATGTGAGCAAGAAAAATATTTTGAATAGATCAAGATTAGGGATTTCAAATACTTTAGAATACAAATTATAACTACATGCTTATGAGTACCTTTTGATGTAAATTTAGTATTTACTACCAGTTAGTATTTAGTTTGGATAATAAATGAACAAACCATACTTTCTAAGTACATTGACTGTCAAGTGTAAATGAACTTATGTTTATTATTTTTTGTTATGAGAGGGTGCTCAGCAGTTGCAGATGCCTAAGAAAATAAATGTTAGTTTGGAAATGTTAAAAAGTGTATCTTGCTCTACCTCAACTTTTTAGTGCATTTTCCAGTCATTAACAGTGTAACCTGTTAATACACTGACTGCAATAGTTCAAATGCTAGCCTTCCATATGACATTTATGATGATTTTACTAAATAGCCTTCCTATTGGTATAATTTTTATCGTTCCACTTTCCATGAATGAATGGTGAACATACTAATGAACAAAAGAGTGAACATGCAAGTTGAATGACTACAAAGGCAAGATTAGGAGAAAGAGAAAAATGGACACATGCTAAGACAACTAATCCTTGCCAAAATCTTGCTTTAGGTTCTAATTTTGGTCCACCATTTTCAAAATCTGTTAAATGCAGGTCTGTTAAACTGAGAATTGTCTCTACTCTAAATAAATGTTCTTAAACTCATAATATTTTAGACATTAAAAAACATTTTTTTGGACTTCAAATCCTCACATTTCTTCCATTTATCAAAGAAAAATTTCAAGTTATATGCATATTTTTAATACATCTCACTTAATAAAGAAAAAATATTTGTTTTTGTATAGAATTCACAAACTTGGAAAATTACACATTGTCTAAAAATCCTGTTTTAAACAAAATGTATTTTGATCAATAATATTCTGGCTAAACATACCATTGCTAATATTATTTTAAAAAGTATTTTATTTTTGTAAAACTATATCAGCTAATTGCTTTCATTGTTCTTGCTTAGGCATTCACAGTATTACTACTCAGACCCTTAACATGAAGTACAATTTTAATTCTAAAATGTAATTATTGAATTGAAATTTGTTTCCTTCTGTCCTGAAGAAAGTTGTTTAAGACAACTGAAAATGTTTGAGAGTTAAAATTGTACTATTGAAAATGTTAAAAGGTCTTAGTAGTATTACTATGGTTTTTTACAAGTGCAGTTTTCAAAGTGCTTAGACATTCATTTTATCAGTTGTAATAGTTCATTATAATAAAGTTCAGAAAAATGGTTTGATATTAAACTATCACAAAATCTTTATTCTATAATTATATTAATAATTTTTCATTGAATGGATTTGTTTGATTTTTGATACATTACTTAAAAAAAACTTTATTGTTGCATTAAATATTTATTAGAGAATAAAACAATCAAACTAAATTTTTAATTTATTTTGAACATTGTACCAACTGTTGCTGTTACAGAAAATCAATTTTCAAATATTCAAAAATATTAAATCCAAGTAGCTTCAATGATTATTTTTGCCTTTTGACTTCTAAAAATAATGCACAACAATTAACCATGATTTAAAACTATATATTTCTTTTTACAAATAATAAAACTTTACAAAATATTTAGTCACATTAGCTAAATCAAACTATAAATTAATATATTCACAATTCACATTTAACACTTTCTGATCAATAGTTTTAATAAAGTTTTTAAAAATATTCCAATAATAATGTTTAACCTTTCACATGTCAGCATCTATGATTAAAAAAAAAATATGTATTCAACATATATAAAATTTAACTCTAATGTAATCTATCAATATTAAAGAACTTCATTGTACTCTCTGCTGAATCCCACTGATGTGAAGAATAGACAATTAATAACATTAATTTCAGATGACAGAACTTTAACAAAATTTCTAAATACTTTGAACATCTTTTCTAAAATTAAACTGAAATTCAGCAGGAACTAATTAATTGTTAGTACCATCAACTGTGGAAAAGAGACTGCAAATCAAGAAAAATTATTTGACATCTGACAAATTACATTCAACATTTCTTGAATCTTAATTCCAAAACTACTTATTGTCAATAAATAATAATAATAAACAAGTGAATGGTTTCATTCATTTTTAATAATCATCAACATGTTAAAACTCTTCAATCAATAACTTTCCAATACTGGGATATAATAAACATATACAACATACCTATACCAGCATATTTGAAATTAGCAAATTGTTAATTATAAATGGATATATAAATGGATTAATATAAAATATTAAAAACGAATGAAAACATTAGTAAAAATATGTTAATTTTAAGTATGCTGGTATAACTTTTCAATCAATTTAAATTATAATTTCAAATTCAAAAATTTTTAAAAATTTAAACAATCAATCAATCAATCTGATAATCACTACTGTGAGATCATGTGTTCATAATCACAGATATTGAAACAAAAATTTTTAATTTTTTTTATTTCGGTATTAAAAGGGGCTATGACTGTACAGCACAAAGGCCACATATGTAAAAGATGACTCATTAATCTATTTTAAAAGACTTTATTGAGAGAGATGTTCTCTTGTATATTACTTGGTTGAAGTATTGCAATTGACAAAACAAGTCTGCTTTATTATGAAAAGAATTCCATGAGAGGAAAGTTTGAGAGAATCTCTGGAGGGAAGGTTCTCAATACAGGGTGATCATAAAGATTGAGAAAAGAACTTTGAAAATAAGGTACTATAGAGAGGTACATACTCTATTCTTTGATGAGATTCAGCAAAGTAGAAAGAGTTGGTAGCAATAGAGAACACAGCAGACTGGACAGAAACTAAACAAAAGTTTGTCAGTTCTTTATATTAAATCTATTAAACAAAAATGTACTCTGTGTCCAAGTGACGTGTGTTTTTACATATTGGGTCCCTCAAGCTTACATTCTAATTGATTTTGTATGTCCTTCCTCATAACCTGATTGGTATTCCTTGCCTATTTCTAGGTAATATTAGAGACCTTCTCAATCATGAGAAAGTTCAAGTACACTGTTAATTAACACCAAGAATTCAATCCCAATTGAAGATGTTTGCTGATCTTAGAACCCTCATTGTAAGGTAGTGTGTATACTTCTCACTGCGTTATTTATAAATTTAAATGTTATTTGTAAACTGACAGAAATAAACAAATATGTTCAATAGGATGCAAACAATTCAATTAAAAAAATGTTCTTTTACAAAATTATTAAGGGAGGGATATTAAGACAAGAGTGGGCATTTTCACCTGCAGGGACTCACACTATAAGTGACTGAAAATATTCGTGTTTATTAAATGTATTGCTAGGATATAGGTAAATTATTCTTATTTATTTACAATTTATTTAGAATTTGTACTCCAAAATTTTTTAAACTGATTATTAACAATGTCATGATGTCAAGTAATTTTGAGATATAATTAGGTTATATTTGATGGCTGATTGTTGATTTTCAAGTTTTATTTTAGTAGAATTTTTTCATTATAGACTCTGCTATCCAAAAGCTACAGTATAATTATTTTAAATATCAGATTTTTGAACTATTAAATAGGAAGTTGTGTGAGAATAATGATTATATTAGTACAAAATATGATCATATTTGTTAACTTAATTGTTGTAACTCACAAAATGATATTAATAAAGTTTCCACAATAGTAATAAAAGTATTTTTCTTATCCTACCAGTTAACCCATTTCTTAATAATTGATAGAATCTAAAAAATGCACTATGCTATAAATAGCATTATACCTTGATAACTGTTTCTGTATCAACAAATGAAACCCTTAGACAATTTCTACGCATTTAATGGCTTTTTCTATCCACTAGATACTTTATTAAAACAAGGGCAATGAGATACACTCAGAGCATATAACTCAATGACTAGTTCGCTCAAAAAGATTTAGTCTTCAATTATATTAATTTTATCCAGTTTTAAAAATAAACTTCTATGCATTTGTAGCTAGAACTATTTTAAGATGACCAAGACAAAACCTTTCTCACTTGTTTCTAGCTGTTTATACTGATATACTTTATGAATGTTAATGTCTTTGATAAAAGTATTTATGCAAAAAGTAGAAAAATATAGTAAAACACCACAAAATGTATTTCTAATAAATCTATGTTCATGAAAAATTGGAAGTTTATATAAATTATATTGTTAAACTAGATCACGGATATAAAATTTAATTATCTCCCTTGCTGAATTGTTATTTCATGAAAAATTGGAAGTTTATATAAATTATATTGTTAAACTAGATCACGGATATAAAATTTAATTATCTCCCTTGCTGAATTGTTATTTCCTTAAAAAAAATATATACTGGCAATACTTTTAACAGTCATTTTATCTTTGAAAATGAATATCCATAAATCCTAGTACTTATCTCTTGAAATTAATTTCTGTAAATAACTGATCACAAAGAAACAGTTTCAATATACATTTTTAAGTATAAAATTAGAAAAATGATTATTTATAAATATCCAGTGATAAAACAATTATTTATCCAAGCATTTTCTGTAAGTTCATCATCGTAGCCATGATGTTTTCACAACAATCATCATCAGAGTAAATAAATACTGTGTACAGAGTGCATAATCTGTTAATGTCATTTTAAAAAATAAACATTTTAAAGAAATAAATGGCAAAAACTTTCTACCGAATTGTTCCAGCTTACAAGATCGTCAATAAAACAGAAAATCGACTTAAAAATCATGTCAGATCAATTACTTTTATATAACAAAATGTTTCATAACTAAGGTAAGAAGCGTGTGACGACTTCTTAAATTATAAGCTTAAATGATTTTCTTACCCAGTTTTGACGACATCGAATACCGTTCTCAGCTTGTACCCGTTCGTTTCCAGTTTATTGTTTCCCAGTTCCTCCTCTTCACTGTTCCAATCGACGGCTTCACATTCGCAAGAGAAATGATCGGCCACCATCTTCTTCTCTTCCTCTTACTTCACTCTCTGAAGATGCCGACACCTGGCGATGGGAAACAGGAACTACCAGTATGCGCAATTTCCTCCTCCTTTTTATAACGCCGACACCGAAACAGAAGTAAAACTTAATCGCTTCGATCCGCCATCAATTACGTTTAATTAATTACTGAAAATCGCGGCATCACGCGATTAAATCATCCGATTCGTTTCATTAATAATTACGATTTTTACAATAAGCGATAACTTATTTGAAAAAAAAAAAAAAATCGAAACCTTTATCGATATTTCTACCACTAGATGACGCCACCGACTCTTAGGTGTGGTCGGTTTCTTTCTCCATTTTTCATCTGTGATCGGTGGTTTCCGCCATTTTATTTACGAAATTCGTTTTTTCTCGAGATTTAAACGCGAATAACGAACGATCGCATCTTAAATTACTACGAATATAAAGAAACTTTATAAATAAGATAAAATTTTATTGTCACTCTATATTTTTTTGTTTGTTGTTTGTACGGATTTGATGATTTTACATTCTGCGAGCGAGTGACACACACAAAAAGATGTTATATCCCAGAGAAACATGACTAAATCAATGACAGAATATTACACTAAACACAAATTATATCTGCTCTATAATAAATCCTAACTTCTCTTTCACACAATAATTATAATAATTATCTTTGTTTTTTTTTATTGAGATACAGAGATTTTTAAGGTATACAAAAGATATAGGCGGATGACAGCACACGATACAACTGTTTTTTCTCAAGTTTAATGACTGAGAAAAATTGATGTGCTTTGGATGAATTAAAATGATACACATCTCATGTTTGGTCGACACGGACGACGGGATGACAAACGTAACGTTCACTAAATAAAGCTCTTTTTTCGGAATTAATCACTTCTAAAGAATAAAAATCTTATCTGCTGATTTCCTTAAAATTATCTAAAAATTCCAAGGAATTTCCATAATTTTACTGATCTTTTTAAATGGTTACACAATGCAATGAATTGTATATTAATAGATAAAAAGAGTATGAACTGCAAATGAATTTCGCATCATCATCAAATAGTTTCTCCCCATTTAGCTATTAAATATACATCTTTTTTCCTCTATGTTTGAAAATTATATACGAATTTTTCCCTAATGTTTTATGAAAATGTCTAATGAGATGCATTTTTTTCTTCTTCTTCTTTTTTTTTATGAAAGTTTAAATTTCTGTTATGAATTGTGGTGTGTGTTCATGTGTGCGGGAAGCGAAATTTGAATCGTCAATGAAAAAATCTCCCTCCCTTAGATTCAACTTTTCGTGTGCATCAAATGAGAAGGGTTTTTTAGAATTAATTAAAAAAAATTGTATGATGATCATCGGGTGATATCAGGCACAGGTAAATAAGAAATAAAATTGGGAGTTGTTTATCATATGGTTATTTTTTTGAAGTATTTTCTTTCTTTTTTTTTGTTTTCTTAACAGTCCAAATGTGTGTGCCATTCTCGGAGCCTGTAACTTTTATCCGGATGTGTAAGGCAAGACACAACAGCCTCCGGTTTGACCACGTGGTGTCGTCACTCTTACACAAGTTTTGTTAGATAAGATAAATGGCTGATTTCGAAACAGATCGTTGGAAGGCATCAGAATCGGGCTCGCAGGTACACCGAGGAGACGTCGTGTTCGCCATAGCTTAAACGTTTGGCGTGTTTGTATACCTAAAATTTCAAACATTAAAGAAAGAAAAGTTAATCGATATCGTTACGTTCCGTTGTTTACTTAAACGCTATTGGTCTACTTACTTCGTTTGCTGCTGCGGTCAGAGGTAAAGGTTGTTCTAATTGATCGCCCAGACCCAGTGCCAAACTTAAATCTTTTTGCATATGCTGAAGTGGCATGTTGGTGGGAAATGTTCCTTCGATTATCGCTGAAAGATATAGGAGGTCGTCATTTATCTCTCAGATTAAATAAAATAATCGTATCCTAAACTTTAAACATCTAATTTTATATCTATATAATATCGCATGCTTATCAGACTTTAAATAACGAAAAACAATCGATAAAATAAATCTGGAAAATAATCTGAATGTGAAACAAATTTTATAGTTAAAATAGTTCATCCGTCCGACAAAAATTACAAATCTAAATAGATTTAATATAATAATTAAAATAAATGTGTTATACAGAAATTTTTTGATAACACGGAAGCATAAGCACGAATATTTTACGTAATAAAATTATATAAACATATTCACAAACCATAAGAATTAACTTTTAAACTCAAATAAGCAAATTCTTCACGCTTATGGGTTTGTAGAGAAATAATTTATATACATTAATCAATTATTACTATTCTTTTAGCAAAAGAAATGGTTATGTAAGTCAGTAGCTGATATCAATCAATATTGTAATATTCAATAAAAGACACGAAATTACGTATCCAGCAATCAAATAGTACCTTTTTAACTGAAAAAACGAACTAAGTTACTAAATTTTTTATGTATTTTTCGAAAACAACATTTTATCCATTAGCGTTAAATGGATTTTGGAATGCGTGGAACTAGTATGATGTTAGGTTGAAAAACCACTACCTAAACTAGTAATTTTTACAGCAGATCGTAACTGTATAATACTCAGATATTTAACTAAACTAAGTGCTTGGCTGGGGATTCCGAGTTTAAAATACCGGTATCCAAATAGAATTAATTATATACAGTATTAAATATAATATTTAAGGAACTCTGAAATTAATTAGTGAATAAGATACACAGATCTGTTAATTCGTTTGGTTTTACCATAAATGTACAGTAAAATCACTACTAACAATTCGCACCAGAATATCAATACCTTAAAGAAGTAGGAAATGAAAGTGTCAAATACTATTTCTGATATATAAATTTCCTACACTTTCTATCTAATAATGCTGACTAGACTGCATCTTTATCACGTTAGAAGTCATTTTATGGTATACAGAGAACTTCCAATCCAAAGTAAAAAGTAAGTTATCAGTAACCTGAACGTTTACTGTGGTTTTATCATAATAAATGACCGAAATTAAACACCACGTTTAAACATCTAGAGCTTCAATATCCCGCAAATGGCAAACGTGACCCACATAACGATTTTAGGTAACCGTATTGAATGTTTAAAAAGTATTAGTTTCATAAATTATAAAAATATATTTCGCAGATTTCAAAACTTTGTATATGTAATGTGAACGCAGGATCTTTCAGCTGTCCCGAAAAGTCATAAAGGCCAGTAATGAACCTCGTATAGAAAGGAAATATGGTCAAATATACAGAAGATCACTCATTAAACGCTTCCATTACAATTGCATTACTTTCTTTTTCACATATATAGAGTTTATTGCTTTTTCTAAATATATATTAAAAAACATGTTTAAAGTATAACTTAAATATGAAAGTACTTTTTGTTATTTTTTAATTACTGAAATCAGAGCAGAGCTATAGAATGAGATAAAAAAATACGGTAAAATTCTCAATAATTCATCACTGAGAGTATTAAAATTTCTAAGACTTATAACAATAATAAACTAACCTAGCTTTTAAATTTTAAGTTTTCAAATGACAAAAATCAAAACTATAAAACATTAAAATGCTACAGATGAGAAAAAGGTCAGAAAAGCAGATGAAAATAATCAAAATAATATATACTTATTTTTAACGAAATAATTATAAGTAGGTACAGGCAAATATAATTAAACTTTTAAGTTATAGATAAAAATAGCTAATAATGGATTTTTTAAAATACTATAAAGGAGAAAGTAAAATCAGTTTGTATATTTTAAGGAGTTTATTTGTTGATTGTCCAGAAAAAAATGTTTATATGTTTTTATTTTCATTATTATTATTACAAAATTTCTTGGATCTAATCTAATTATTTACTAGCCTTTTAATATAAGGCAGCTTGTAATGATTGGCAATTGGTTTCAAATTTGTTAGATTCTCCAGCTTAACAAATTTTACTCAAAAAGAAAATTTTTAGATTACTAATAGGTCCTTAGTTAATAAAAATTTTTAATCGCTATGAGAAGATATTTGGCCAGAACACCTGTACAGAATATTCAAGTTAAAAATTTTCCTAATGAAATTTATTTCTTCTCTATAATGACTTCAAAATATAGAAATTACGTATTCTATTTTCTTTCTTGTCATTTTTTAAAAAAGTTATTGTTAATTATCAAATAATTTCATCTAAACATTTAGTGAATAAATTCCTTGTACAGATCCACTTTTAATTTACTGGACATTTTTTAAATTAAAGAAAAAGGCGTATAAAGTATATTTTACTAGCAGATAAGCCCAGTGTTGCTCAGGCAAAAAGTAAGGATAGCAAAGATTAAGATTATTACATTACAGCCAATCTTACACGTTTTCACAGAATGCAAGAATCAGATCCCCCCTGTTTCCAGACTAATTAGAAAATTTTTAGATGGGTCTAAAAATATGTTCAATTTCCCGCTAAAATGCAAAAAAAACGCATCTGCGCCTGTAAATCTTGCACATAGCTTTCTCTTAACACTTCCACTGTTGAAGCCTTAATCCTGTCCCTCTCCCCCGCGGAAGGGAATTTCGAAAAATCCCTTCTTAGTGTGTGTTCTCGTGACTTACTCTAACTGTGTACCAAATTTCAACTTTCAACTCCTAACCGTTTGGGCTCTGCGCTTATTATTATCAACCTGTCTCAATTATACATATAGATTGTTACCTTGTTTCCTTTTCAAAATTTCTTCATGCTATAACCCTCACTCTGTATCAAAATTGATACACAGTGAGGAATGGACTTTGTAGGTATAAGGTCTGTCCCAAAAGTTTAGGTAAATAATTTTTCACAAAGAACTTTTAAAATATTGAACTTTTGATTGATTTAACAATTTAATAGTTATTAAATTGCTAGGAATAATAGAAATTTTTCTAAACGTTGTTGCAAAAGTTTAAGTAATAATATTTGATGTGAATTAACAAACACATTATTCTTTGCCAAGGGAGTTTTAATAAAAAACTAAAGTTTTTGATCTACTCCATAGATCATTCTCAGGTTGAAACATTCAAATTTGGAATAACAAACTTTAGTTTTTTATTAAAACTCCCTTGTCAAAAAATAAGGTGTTTGTTAATTGATTGATTATTTTGCTGAGTACGTTTCTGTTCAATATTTGATGTGTTTTTGAGCAGATTATTACACAAGTTCATAACAAATGACATCAATTATGTCTATTAACAATAAAATATCGTTTTTATAATGGTTATTCTTGAAATTAACAAAGAAATAACAGAAAAATCAAAATGCCAAAAGAAAATCAATTTTCTTCAGAAGTGACTGGAATTCGGAGATTGAAAGCAAGTGAACATTAAGTTACTGAAATTTCAAGCAAAATAGGTCATTCAGTTTCAGAAATATAAAGTGGGTGATCGGTTAACAAACAGTTCAGACTGTGAACAAATCAAATGACAAACACTTTTGTGAAACATTTTTGTTTGGACAATGAACACCTCACAGAACATACACACAAGAAGAAGCGACGTAAAATAATAAATACCAATTGGTCTTCCCTTGTCTTCAGGCAACAATTTGAAACTTTTTGGAGCACAGGAGACATCAACACTCAACCCGGTATATACTGATCGAATAGTATTCATTCGAACTTTGAAACTTTCCCTTGTAATTCCAGCCTTTTATTTTTCTGACAGAAACAATTTTTTTATAGTACAGTGGAACCTTGGTATACGACCTTAATCCGTTCCTGATGTTTGGACTTATACCGAATTGGACGTATACCAAACCAACCTTTTCCATAAGAAGTAATGTAAAAATGATTAATTCGTTCTCATGTAAAAAAAATGGCTGGCTTTAAACACCTCGCTTTCCTTACTAGTTTCTGCTTGATTTTTCATGAGATCAGCATGTATCCTTTTAACTTTCTCTCAAATAATTTCTTCCGATACGCTGTCGCCGGCACAGCTTTTCAGTTATCCAAAGCAACAGCAATTTCTCGACATGATCTAATGTCTTCGATCTCTGTTTAGAAATTGATTTAACCCCTTTCGCAACATTAGCAAATTTAATAATGTCTTCATTTTTCACGATTATCGATATCGTTCTAGGAATACGGAATGCAACAGTTAAATCTCGAACACGCCTGCCACCTTCATATTTTTCAACAATCTCTTTTTTCAGTTCCGTTGTGATTCTAGTCACTTTTTTATTTTTCATTTGCCCTTTTGCAATTCATGATAAATAAAAATAATAAAATGTTACTTACAAATTAAAATGAGAAGAAATTTAACAAAGTTATAAACCATAGCACCGCGAACGTCTAGTCTGGTATAGTACACTGATAGTGCTACTTGTTCATAGATGGAGCGTATAATTGAATTAAGTCGTATACTGAGCAAAATTTGTTTCATCCAAACAGGACGTATTCCGAATTTGACGTATTCTAAAGCAGACGTATACCGAGGTTCCACTGTATTTGCAAGACTGTTGGGCAGGCATTCTAAGTTTTGTGTTTGTTTTTATTTTCGAAAGGTGAGAGTATAATAGCAAAGGTAGAGGTGGGCAGATGTCTTGAACAGGTCTACAGTAGGCCACAGTTATTTAATTTAGAAAGATACAGTATAATCAAGAAGACTCAAGCAGCTAAAGGAGTAACAAAAATCACTTCTGAGAAATAAAGAACATTGAAGAGTTCATAACGGAACCTGAAACTGATCTGACAACGGAAGAACGCCAAGAACTCTTGAATGAAGAACACCAAGAAACTTGGCAACATATGTTTTCTTTTGCGGATTAATGCTGATATCTGCTATTAAAGATCTTTTGAAAAAGTGGGAGGATGTCAGAATAATGGTCTTGGAATGGCATCCAAACCAGGTTGAGGTTAATAGGCTTGGGGATCTCTGCAAT